ACTGAGAGGGGCTGGAGACAACTTTGGGATGGCCAGAGGTGCCCTGAACATCGACTGTGCTGATGGCTACACAGTAAGCGACACACTGGAAATGTGTGCAGTGTGCTTGATCTAAATTACTTCAGTAAAGTTGATTTTGGAAGCCTTGGTCCATTCCTCTAAAGAAGGCAAGAGACAGCTCTCATTGGACACATTTGAAAATTGCCAGTGTACCAACTGATTAATGTATTTTTTTTAAATGTTTAAAGAGAAAATTTAAGGATCGATCTTGCTTTTCCTAGGATATCCAAAGAGTTGAGAGAAAGTTTTATTTCGTAGACAAATACCAACTGGTGCTTACAGACAGGATGGTGTTTATCGTTGTGTAACAATATCATGCGCTGTCCAGGGCAGAACCACTAAGGGAAAGGCTGGCGGTTGGTCACGATCAAAGCCCCTCAGCCCGCTGATCTGAGTTCTTACCACTAATGGGACAACCAGACATTCCATGTCTGCCAATGCGAAGCAGTGTGAGCTTGAAGCTAATGTGGGTCCTAGTTCTACAAATTTACAGCAAAGAAAAAGAAAGAGGAAAACTTTAAATAACCACCCAGGAAATACTCTGACAACGTTAGAAAATTTTATAAGACAAGCAGTCTAATGTTTTTATTTGATAAGATACATAGTGAAGAACTATTAGGAGAGATTGTGTGATGTCTGGAATCTTTTTCTAAAACTCTCTAGTAAAACAAAATTTTAAAAATTGTTAGCCAAACAAATAAGTGAAACAATTCAGTATTGGCAATTTTTTAAAATAACTGTTGAAACCAGGTACTGGGCACATGAGAATTCTCTATACTGTTCTTCGTCCTTTTGTGTACATTTAAATAGTTTCATAGTGAAAAAGAAAACAAAAAGTAGGTTTTCAGAGAAATTTTTCAGTTATCTGAAAAATCTACTTAATTCTTGATGGTGCCAAACAAAATCAGTGTTAGCAGGCAGCTTCTGTGGCTAGCCTGGTTTTATTTTAGTCAAGGTGACACACGTGCAGGGTTTAAACAGTCAGCTAATATTATATAACTTCCAGTGAGATATTCTGCTATTTTTTAACATTTCCATCTTAGACATTGCTTGTTCATACCCAGATATCAACGTCTGAGTCTTTCTCTTGGGCCAGGTAATTTCTGTGCGGAGGACTCTTCCCCACCGGCTTGACTTTGCTGATCTGTAGAATGGAGAAGAGGGTGGGAGAGCACCAGCTGTTGCCTTGCCCGCATGGGAAGAGGATTCTCATGTGGTCTGTTAATAACCCCTGGCATTTGGCCACGCTCTCAGGGACCTCTGGCTCCTGAGTGTGGCCATCTGGATCCCCACAGGCATCTACAAATGTCTCTGCTGTCCCAACTCAGCCCCATTCATCCTTCAAGTTTCCACAGCCCACACTCATCATTTATTCAGTTGACAAATGATCGCCAGAGTCCCGTGATGAGAGAAATAGCATTCTGGAAGCTTGGGACCTGTCAAGGAACAAAGCGAGTAGGCAGAATGAGTGCGTGATACTGGACATCAGAGTGGAATGATCGGATACGTGGGCTGCATGAGCTGTCATTTTAAACAGTGTGGGCCAATCTGAAATGCACTATGTGAGCAAAGACCACAGGATGCACGGCCATGAGCCATGTGGACGGACGTGGAGACAACCCACGTCACTGAAGTGCTTTGTCTGTGTGGCACCTGTTTCTGTCTTGCGGGGTGGAGCTGTATCTTCTGCTCTGCTGTGGGTGTGGGGCAGCTATGGATGTAAATGTTTGTGCTCGGCCCACTGCATCTAACTGGTCGTGGCTCCTCCTGACCCCAGGCTTGTCATCCTTGTGTGTTTCCTGTCTTTCCTATATCACCAAGCACCATGAGTATACAGAAAGAAGTCAACAAATACGTTTACTGGTACCTTAGGTCCAGAGTATTTTAAATATCTCCGAAACTGCATGCTGCCACCACATGTTATTCAGCCTCCAGTGCTTGGGCATCCCGCTCCTGCCTCTGCTGGAAGTGCCTCCCTGTGTGCTCAGGGTGGGACAACTGTCCTGTCCCCTCAGTGGTGGAAGCACAGGCTTCCTATCCAGAGCAGGACCCATACAAAGCAGTCTGTCTGACTAAAGCCATGTGGGGTGAGGCAACTGTTCTACATTGTGGGTGGTTACCCGATTGCATGCCTGTCAAAACCCCTAGAGTTTCACACACCAGAGTGAACTTCACTGTATGCAAATTTTTTTAGTAAACCAGCCAGTGTGTTAGAGGGTTCCAGAAAGGAGTGCACACTTTGACAAATGCCCTAACTACTGCAGAACGTATGGTGTAACCTCACCGGAGGGACTGGGGGAAAGGAACGGACAAGCCACTTTGGGAAATGATGCTTTGATGGAAAACCATAAGGCTAAAAACTGTACATGAGCACTGTATCCTGGCTGGTAAGTTTACGTCTTCCAGAGGCATGGTCTGCAATTCTGACACTACTCTCTGTGCACACCGTGGGTAAACAAATAGGAGAGCAGATCTGGATCTGGCACCCAGGCCCCTCAGTGTCAGAGAGAAAGCCAGAGAGAAGGCTGGAATGAACCCCGGGTGTGGGACTCAGGCAGGAGACATCAGCAAGAACTCATGTTTATTGTAATGTGTGCAACAGGCACAGAAAGAAATGTGTCTCCAAACACACATCTCTTAGCTCTTTCTGTGGAGACAGCCAAGAAGTGGATGCCCCATAGCGACAAATCTGACCAGACCGTGGACTCTGTTTCTAAAGGCCGTTCTCCAAAAGGGGGAGATCAGGACTCTGGATAAGTGCCCAACTCTAGGGCTAGCCAGGGAAAATCCGAGGTAGGCCTGGAACATTTTTAGTGGCAGGAAATACAGGAAGAGAAGGGACGGAAGAGAGAAAAATGATGGGAACATGTCAAAGGATGCAGATGCCAACCTGAGGAGATCCCAGTGACCAAAGCTGGGGGCATTTGAAGAAAAAAATTAATAAACAAATAATTTGATTATAATTGTCCCCCAAATCCCCAAGTTCACACTGATCGTAACAAGTGAATTGTGTCCCCTCAAAATTCATGTCCAGTGGAACCTCAGAATGTGACCTTATTTAGAAATGTCACCTTTGAAGATGGAGAAGTTAAGGATCTTGAGGTGAAACTGTTCTGGAATTAGGGCAGACCCTAAACTCAGGGTCTGGTGTTCCTACAGAAGAGGAAATGACACAGAGACACTGAGAGGAAGGTGGCAGAGCCTGGAGGAGGACACTACAAGCCAAAGCTGTTGACGTTCACTGAACAACTGAGGAGCTTAGCAAGCGGTGATTCCAGTGTTACTGCTTAGTGTGAGCAAATGTAGGATGGCCGTGTAAGGCAGTGACATGAGTGTGGCTGGGGGAAAGACATGCGGGGACTCTCTCTACTGCTTTTGCAACATGTTGGTAAATCTAAACCACTCCAAAATAGAAAGTTAAAATTAAAAAACGCGCATAAAAGGTCTAGAAGCCAGTCAGCACTTCCTCTGCCGCTGCTTTCCATCTGTGGTTTTATTTCCTTTCTCTGAAATGGAAGAGAATCTTTAACTCAATCTCTGCACTTGCTGTCCACCTCCTTCCCACGCTAATAAATGTATTTTAAAAGCAGGAAAGTGGGTAAACAAATGAACAAGGAATGAATGAGTAAGTGAGTGAGTGACGGCTTGCAGCAGATGGGGGCATCCAGCAGTCTGACAGGAACAATTAGAAGCTGCCATGTTTAGCCCTCGCAGCTCGCCCAGCACAGCGGCAGCGACCTCACAAGCACAGTGTTTCCAAACGGCCCAGGCCCCTACCTACCAGGGCTCGCTGCACAGCTGGCTCTTGGGTGGAGTCAAGGTCTCCTCCATTGGCCTCCTGACTCCGCACTGCACACGGGCTATCGGTGAAGGGGGCCCTGGTTTCCATTCCGCCTGACTGGCACTCAGTGGGGCAGAGCGTGGTCCAGGCAGAGGGAGCACATGGAACCCACACTTGGACATCCTCAGGAGGCCACGGTGAGGCTCCGATGCACGCAGTAAGGCACGTGAGCTCCCTCTGCAATCCTGCGAACACTGCCCTGCCCTGCCCCACCGCTCCTCGCCCTGTGCCTTGGTCCCTGCTAGACTGTCATGTGCTCTGTGCCACCAGCCCGGCGTGCTGGGGTGGGATAGGGTTCACAGGCATCTGCTGCCCCTTAGCGAGTGCTTAGCAAGGCGCTGGATTTTGCAGCCCCTGGAGGCCTTGGCTCTGTAGCTTCAACCTTTTGATCCTTATGACTTTGGGCTCAACCCTATGTTCGTTCATTTTTTATTTCATTCATTTGAAAATATAAATAAACTGCATAGCATCTCTGTGCTAGAAATGGGAACACAGAGAGAAGTAAGACATGACCCCTGACTTCGAAGAGCATGCATTATGCTTGGTTACTCATTTGCTTTAGTTCTGATCCAATTTTGGATAACCACTCCTCTTTCCTCTAACTGCAGGCTTCTCGCCTCCCTGCCTTGGCTTACTAGCATACCTGGCCAGTAATCTGACTCCCTGACTGTGTGTCCCTCCCGGTATGGAGGCAATGGAAGAGACCAGGCAGTTCAGTGTCCTCTAGCCCCAGAGATTCCGAGGCCTGGCAATGCCGGCCATCCACCTGCCTGGACATGGAGTTTCAGAAGTTATTTGTTACATTTCCCTGGCAACTGCTATACTTTCTGCCCACCTATTGGAACATTCTAACCAGAGTTTTCTACCTTTTTAATATAATTGGACTCATTCATCAAACACTGAGGCAGTACACGATGTGCCAAGCAGAAACAAAGAGAAGCATGGGGCTCGGCTATCCAAAACTTACTGTGAAGTGAGAGAAAGCTGTACGGGAAGAGTACAAATAAACTCTGTTATCCAGACTCAAGAACGTAAGAAAGTCAGACAAATTTTTGGATAACACTTTATTAACTAAATTCTCCCTATTTGCTACCTGAAATGTAGAAACCAAATAGATTAACATAATTAGACTCCTCTGTATGCAAATTTACAACAGAATCTCTTGCTGCAGCTCAAGATCCAAATAGATTGAGATGGCGCTGTTGCAAGGACCAGGGAAGCAAATGAGTGGAGAATGCGCAGGAAGAAATGGCCATCGAAGGAGACAAGAAGTCCTGGCCTCAGGATCTTACAGCCCCAACACTCAGGCCAGGTGAAAAGGAAGACTTTCCAGCCAAGAACCAGACACCGTGTCCAGTCTTTCTGGAGGTTTTCTCTTCCCCACCTGAGACCTTTGTGTCTGCAGGAGGCCTGCTCCTTGGAGACTCTACCTTGTCAGTCCTGGAGTCTGGACAGGTTGTGGTGAGGGCACACATGCAGGTGGCTTCTTCTCGTCAGGAACACTGGGCTGTGAGCAGAAGGAGGCAGCAGAGAGGGCAACCACGACATGGTACTTGGCATCCAAAAGTCAGAGCAGGCTCCCCTTGGAAGGCCAACACGGGGCCCTCTGGAATTCAGAAGCACCACTGTCCTGGTTCCACACGCCACACCCTCAGGTTCCGGCCATGGCTTCCTCCCTGCTGCACCTGGGTGATTTCTACAATGTCTGTCTGCACCACTGCCCTCTCCTCCCCAGCGTAACTTGGACTCTCATGCACTGTCCGACCAACCTGGACGTCTCCACCCTCAATCATCCCCCGCCCCCACAGGCTTAGGACAAGCATGATGTAGGCAGTGGCTTCAGAAGTCATCTGCTTTTGCCCCGCCTTCATGCAGTTCCCCCAAACAAGCAGGGAAAAGACCAGTCCTCAGCCTTTCCTCTCCTCCAGTTGGTGGGAAATCTCTGGTGGCAGTGGAGGCCTAGCCCTGCCCTGTCTCCTTCTGTGATGTGGAACACTGGCTCTGCCCGATTCCTGGCCTCTTATTTGTGTTTTCTGGGGCACTGGATAACTGTGCCCATACCCACCCTGTCTGCTCTTTTCTCTGGCCTCGCTCTTTGTGTTAGATCTCTCCAAATTATTTCCCAGGCCCTTCATCTGTAGGCCGACAGAGGAGGATCGATAAGAGAGTTCAAGGAAGCCGAGAGCCAGAAGCATTCCCCATGCCAGGCCGAGGAAAGCTTGAAGCAGACCAGGCACAAATCCTTCAGCTCCTTGTCAGCAGCCTTTGATCTGCTTGGCAGCTAACACGAAAGTAGAATTTGGCCCTCCAACTGTACAGGACGAGACTTGACAAGGAAATCAGTTTTTCTGACAATTTCAAAAGCCCTGACACTTTCGTCACTTGGCACTTGGCCGGGGGGAATGGTGCTGTGGACACACAAGCGCCCCAGAGAACCCTTTTCCCAGGAAAGCCTGACAACTCAAGTGCAGACAAGCCCATGCGGAACGAAGGACAGGCTTTTCCCTGCCCTTTGTGAGGACAGGTGTTGCCAGAACCAGGGATTTGGCAGCTGGAGGAGCTTCCTCCCTGTCCGGGGAAAGGTACTAGGGAGTCTGGCTGGGGTGCTGAAGAAGGTCTCCTGACATCTGAGGAACAGGCTCATCTGCTACTTGCTGGGAAGTTTAAGCCAAAGATGCTACAGCAGCCTTGCAGGAGCTTGCTCTTCTTGCACAGCTGCCTGTGATTTGCACAGCTCAGCTTACCTAGCTTGTTCTTAAATAAACAAACCAAAATAAATTATGTTTGCCTTTTTTTTAGAGTTCCATCTTACATCCAGCCTCCTGAGTACTCTTGTGAGGCAATGGAACCTCTCTAGGCTTTCACTGGCTTTGGGGTCATAACAGGTACCCCAGGTGCTGGCTTTGGCTGGCTCAGGACCACTACTTAGCAATGACTGTGGGTGACATCTGAAGCATTGCTCATTACAAAGTGTGGCCATCTTTGGGATGACACAAGGATTCTTGGCAGTCTGAGAAGTTGCACTAAGTGACCCCAGAACCCCACTGACAGCCAAGCCTACAACATTCTTCTTTGGTGATTGACTCAGAAAATCATTATATCCAAAGGGTTCTGGAAATCTAGCCAGACAGGCAGCACTGTTTAGTCCCCCAATGATGACTAAGTCTAAAGCATGCTAGGAAGATGAAAAATGAGACATATTTCCTTCCTCCTGCAAAGTCTCAGCTGGGAGTGGGTTGAGAGACACTCAAGAGATCCAAGCAGCACACACATATCTACCGAGACATGAAATGAATTCTGAAGCTGGCGTGGAGCTTTGGACATATGTCATAGCGGCCCACACACTGAATAAAGAGCAAGAATTGATGCGAGGAGGGATCTTGGGTGAAGCTTAGTGACAGAACGCTTCCCTAGCACACGTGAGCCCTTGGTTCCATTCCCAGCACTGGAGGAAAAAAAGACAAGAAGGAAGTAGGTCCTGAAGGCCATGTGGCCATAGATCTGTGGTGAAGATGTTGAGTCCAGTACAGAAGCACTCTGGGCTACCCAAGGGGCACCAGCTGTGGTAGTCAGACTTCCCAGCAAGCTGACTAAGGAGAAGGCAAAAGAACTCTGTTGGGAAGTGCTCCTGCCACCTACACTTCTGGGACAAGCAAAGACAGCAGGAAAGAGCTGAGGGTGGTCTGGGCCAACCCCACTCATCACAGCTGTTGTCCTCTCTCATCCTCCTGTCCTTGGAGCAGCAGAGCAGCTGCCTCTGGGAAGGGGCATGTCAGTAGACGAAAATCTCTCTGTGTTCTAGAGAAGGCTGACAGCCAAGAGCTGTCACTGGGCAAGGGGAACAAACCATTCAGTCCCGAGGCTGCTCTGGACAGTGTGACCTAACACCTATGACCCCTGCTGACTGGAGAGCTTTTGGGCTGGGGTGGTGGGGTCCTGGCCTCCAGGGTGGCCTTGGGACAACTAGGACAGCTGACTTTTTCCAAGATGTCCCTCACATCCCACCCCTTTCTGGCACTTTCTATCCCATTCTTCCTTCTAGGAACCTAGAGCTGAAGTATCTCAGTTTGCATCCATACCAAGAGCTTGGAGTCCGTTATGTTGTGGAGGATGAGTTCTCCTAGATGTGATGGCAATCTGAAGGGTGGTCCTCCCAGGAAGGCTATGAAAAGAACTGAAAAGAAGGGGCCATTAATGGTGCAGTTTCAACTGGTGTTGGAAGACCTCTGCCCAGGTCGACTAAAAACCAACTTACTAAAGAAAAATCAAAACCAGAATCCTGGCACTGTGAGGTAGGATGTAGCTCAGTGGTACAGCACATGCTTAACATGTAAAAAGCCCTGTGTTCCACCCCCAGAGCCCCCCCCAAAACCAGAAAACAAAAACAAAATAAAACAGAATCCTTCTCTCAAAGGTATGTCGTTTGGGGGATTCTATTTCCCCAGAAGACACGTTCCCTGAGCTCTAAGTAGGATCCAACTCTGGTGAAAGTTTCCTTGCTGGGTAAATTCCCAAGGAGAGTAATGACAGACTCAGTGCTTGGCAGGCATGCAGTTTGGGCTGCCCGAGGGTGCAGACTGGGCCTTCAGAACTCCCTTGAACACCACATACTAATCGTCCTTCTTAGCAGCCCAGCAGCAACGTTCCCCCACCACCAGAACAACCGCAGCTCTGGCGACGGGAGGTCTTCTGTAATTAAAGCGCCTACCTTTCCTCTCCATCGGTGCAATTAGAACTTAATGAAGCCAGGCTACTTCTTTTAAGGCTTTGAAATTATAGCCATTTTCAACATTCACATGCTGGGAAGGGGAAAAAAGACATTACCCATTCTGGAAGCAGGAGGGATGGCAGAGCTATACAGGAATAAAAGAAATAAGGTTGTTCCACACTGCAGGAAATATGGTGGCCACGGGGGACTGGTCAGAGGAAAAGCGAGCTCTCCTTTTAAGGAGCCCAAGAGAATATGCAGTCCTCCCCTGCCAGTATGGGAGTGGGAGCCGTGTTAATCAATCAGTGAGCTAATGAGCATTCTGCTTATGCAGTGGCACTTTGTGGGAGGCCCTGCGTTAGATCCATGGAGGGCCTGAGAGAGAGAAGGAACTACAGCTCCTGAGCAAGGAGGGCACGGTTTACTTCAAACCACCCTTCAATCGTGCACCTCCCACGGGGCAAGAAGGCTGATGTCACCACACAGGAAATCCCCGGGTGCCCATGGCCATGCTGCTTTGCAGGACGCAGACTCCAAGGGACTGGACAGCTTTCCAAGACAAGAAAACACCACAGTTAGGCAGGAAAGGAACCCGACCTGTTCCGATGTCTACAGCTACCTTAAAAAGTGGCTCTATTTACTATTCTCCCTGTTGTGCACATTGGGAAACTGAGGCCCATGGGAATGAATGGGGAAGCCCATGGTCTCGACCACAGTGCGGCAGAGCTGGGGTTCAGACTGAGTGAGCCAACTCCCAGTCAGTCCTGGCCAGCAGGAACATGGTCCCGGGTGCAAATGCTGGGCATATGTGTCGTTTTAAATATCCTAATAGGCACGCTAAAAATGAAGAGTAAGAAGAGATGTGAGATTGAGTTTGGGAATCTTATTCAACTCAGCATTTCCCAGATATGATCTTTCAACCATCAGTTCATCAATAAAAAGTAACTGATGTGCTTTTGATTTTTTTAATACAAAGAACTTTCTTCTTTGCAGTCTGGTGTACCCCTTACCTGTGGCACATGTGCATTGCATTTAGACTAGCGGTGTTTCCGGTGCTCCAGAGCCAGGGCTGCCAGCTACTCATGGGCAGCACAGCCTGCACTGCAGGCGGCCTGACCACCCGCGGTCAGAGCCCGGCATGGTGCGCAGGAAGCTGAGGGCAGCTGGGAGAAGGGTTTGAAGGGCAGGCGAAGGAGCAGATGCCTTCTAGAGACCCCTTTTGACCTGGCTATTAAATGCAGCACCTTATGGGTGAGGGTTCAAGCCTGCACTTTTGTGTGATCAGCCACTGGCAAAAAAATAAAAATAAATAAAGCACTGGGGTTCGGAGCTTGAGGGAAGAGCGTGGTGCAACAGAAGAGCCTTCACACTGGGGCCCCAGGGGCCAGAGGGCCACGGGCCCTGCCTCACCACACACCCACTGCTACTGGGGCCTTGGGTTCTGGATCCACTCCTATCAAATGGGAGTCACTCTGGTGTCATGGTGCAACTGGCGGTATTAAACCAGATAATGGGCCTAACTTGCTCAGTTCAGAGCCCAACTCATTGTAAATGCTCCAGGAGTGGCGGCCTTCATCGTCATCATTGTCATCCAGCCAAGAATAGCTATTCCAGGGCCAGGGATTTAGCTCAGTGGTTCCGCCGCCTGCCCTGCAAGCACAAGGACCCAAGTTCAATCCCCGGTACCAAAAAAAGAAAAAGAATAGCTATTTCAGATGCTTGACCGCAGGATGTGATGGCACACACCTGTGATCCCAGCACCCCGGGAGGCTGAAGCAGGAGAACCACATGTTCAAGCTTGGCCCGAGTAACTTAGAGAGTCCATGTCTGGAAAGAAAAGAAAAGAAAGAAAAGGAGCTGGGGCATGTAGCTCAGTGTGGAGGTCCCAGGTGCAATCCCCAGTACCACACACACACAAAAGATAAGAGACTTGGAGATCATGTAGGGTAGATCAACTCTACTCTTTTTACAAATGTAGGAGCTGAAATCCAGTGAGGTTGAGTAATTTTCAGGGCCAGGTAGATTCCAGTAATTGGGGCAGAGGCAAGAGAAGCTGGGAATCTCCATTCCTTGTCTAGAGGTCCACACTTAATGAATCTTGCATGGAATTATTTTGTTCTCATAACAACCCTGATATATATCAGAATTATCCAGAAAGCTTTTAAAATGTGCAAATGCTGGGTTCCTCCATAGGAGATTCCTGTAGATGTGTCGCTTTCTGTTGACCATTTCAAGGTTTCTCTCTCTCCCTCTCTCTCTCCCTCTCTCTCTGTTGCCAAACTCCATTCCACTCCCTTCAAAATCTGGTCCTTTCCATATCTCTTCTGTGAGGCCTTCTCGGATAACAGCGACAGCAGCAGCAATCGTAATAATAGTAATGGTGGTGACCGTGGAGTATTGTGGAGGTGACCGTGCTGGGAATTTTACATGGATCATCTTGTTTGACCTCACAAGGACCATCTCACCATTTAAAGCCCTGTTTGTTATATGTGGTGGGAAATCCAGACTCAGTGGTGAGGAGTTTGCCCCAGCTCAAACTGCGGTAAGTGATGGAGCTCGCACTCGAAGTCCCGTGATGTCCCCTCCACAGCCCGATGTTGATCAGGATTCCATGTAATCACATTTGAGTTACCGGGTTTGCTTTCCATGCCCTTCTCCCACGTCCACCTGCCCCATTTTCAGCTACATGGTAGCTCACCCTCTGTAGCAACAATTTCTTCTTCCTTGGGATCTCTGGTCTTTGTCCGTAAAGAGGGACACAAAGTGACCAAGAGACGAGGTTTGTAGGCCACACTAGGGACAGCTGGGGAAGCCCATTTCTATGCAGTAAACATTTGAAAGATAAAAAGACAGAAGTTTATATAACCATAGAGCTGGAATGGATGATGGAAGTCCAGTTCTACCCCCACTTTATAGACAGAGAAACTGGGGCCTTTGGCTATTATGTGACCTATTAAAAAAATCACAGAACACAGGATAAGACCAGACTCTGTGAAATAAACAAAATTATCATCAGCACGTGTTATCTTCTTAAGATGTATGCAGTTGCTCCCAAAATACCGCGGTATTGATAATTGGAGCCATCGCTGTGCTTTTCCTTGCTTTCCACTCGGTTCCAGCTCCCACCCCTTTGGGATCTGTTCGTCTGCTCCCCGCAGGAGTCTCATCGGCCTCCCTCTCTCCCTGGAGTGGCTTCTTCAAGCAGTGAGGAAAATTACCCTTTGCTTTTGCTCCCTCTGCCTCTCAGCTGCTCTCCTGAATTGCCACTGCACCAACTCGGCTTTCCAGCCACAACTGGTGCAGCTGGGATGGTGAAGGGGCAACTGAAAAAGAAATGCTAATCAGAGCCTTTTGCAGAGTGGAGTAGAGCAAGCGCGCATGAGAAAGGCATCTGAGGGAGGACAATCTCCTCTCAGTGCCCACACAGGGCGGCTGGGCTTCTCCTCCAGCGACCGTCAGGGCTGAGAAGGAGCGCGCGTGTGTGTGTGTGTGTGTGTGTGTGTGTGTGCGCGCGCGCGCACATCTTGGGAGGCCCTGTGCTGGAAGCCCTTGGGTGTGGCCCTGGCTGTGGAGCTCTGAGGTTCAGGGGAGGGAAGCAGAGAGCTCAGGCACACACACCTTCCCAGGACCACATTTTCTACCTGCCGGGTTTGTTGTTTTTTCTACCACAGGGAAAGAAGAGCAAACGACAACAGTCAGCCCTCTGTGGGCTCAGAGCAAAGGTATTTATTGGCCTTTGAGGCTCTTATCTGAGGGAGGGAGGGAAGCCAGCAGCAGCTAACAGAAAATCAAAAAAGAAGAACAGGCATCAGGGTGTTGGGGGCACACCTGTAATCCTAGCACTCAGGAGGCTGCAGCAAGAGGATCACAAGTTTGAGGCCAGCCTGGGCATCTTAGTGAGACCCTGTCTGAAAATTGAAAAATTTAAAAGGCTAGGGGTATGCTTGCTGGTAAAGTATCCCTGGATTCGATCTCCTGTACCACCAAAATTTGTATATATAGAATATATAAATATAGTATATATTGTATATATAATATATGTGTATATGGGCATTTGGGCACATGCTTCTCATCCCAGCACTCAGGAGCCAGGGGCAGGAGGACTGGGAGTTTGAGACCAGCCTGGGCCCCATAGGGAGACTCTGTTTCAAAAACACAACAACAAAAAAGAGGAAACCCAAGAAAGTTGGTGGGACAGGAAAGAGCCCTAGAGCTGCTGTCAGATCAGGATGCATCGCTCACCCTGGGCGGTGGCACACCCCACTGTAGAAACCACTTTCAGTTGATTAACAACCAAGTGATTTCACAGACCTAATACTTATGTTGTTGAGTAATAGAAATTAAACCCCTTCCCCTTTGTTTATTTTGTTATTGAGTATCAGAAAACAATCATGAAGTGGAATTTATTTTGGTCACTATCTTCATGAATCCCCCCAGAATTGTCTTTGTGATCCCAGCTACTCAAG